GCGTGACAATATCAGTGATTAATGAAAAAAAAAAACTCTCAGGCATGACTCAATAATAAGAAATATATTTCCATCCGCTTAGATTTAGCCATAGTCCACCAAGTTATATGCTTGTTCCAAACACTTGAGCTCTGCATTTCAAATACATAAATTTTACAAAGTGCTAAATGTAACTGAAATTGCATATCTACGAACCAAGGGGACTTCCATGCTGAAGGAGATTCTAGTCCTCTTTTGATGCCTGGGGTATCAGCCAATCTAACAAGAGCAAGGCTTCAGAATTCAGAATGACATATTAAAAGGAACAAGGATCAAGTAATCTCTTCATACTTCAGTAATATATAGGGAACAAGCGGGGTTTAATTCCCTAATGAAGTATCTTAAATGCATTCATCAGTAGGATTCTAGTGTTCTTCAACGTTCTCGTCGTCAGCACCGAGATCGTCACCGTCGGCTGGTACAGCGGCAAGGACCAGAGAAAGCTCCCCCTCAACTGCTACTTCCGCACCGGCTGACGAGCCCGACACGCGTCGCCGCTGCACCTGCACGGCGCCGACGCCTCCTGCTCCCGCATCGCCGCGCCGCCATGTCCTCCTCCCACGGACCGCCGTCTCCCCCTCGCGCTCTTCCGCCGTGTCTCGCTCGCTCGCTTGTCGGTGGCTCGGCGGCAGCCTGGGCGTCGTCGTCGTCGTCGGCGCTCCAGCTCCGCCGGCCGAGTTTAGGGTGGTTCTGCCGATGGCCATCGAGGAGGCCCTCCCCGTGGTGCGACGAGCTGGTGGGGTCCGCCTCCGCGGCGGTGTGCGGTCGCGGCGTCAATCCACCGGCCCGGCCAATCAAATGAGAGAGAGAGGAAGGGAGAGAAGAGGGGAAAGAGAAAGATGATGTGGCATCTGACACGTGGGACCCACGCTGAATCAGCCGGCCACGTAGGACAAATCCGGCGTCAATACTGCTCTGAGACCTAGGGAGACCTAGGGTGACCGGTATTGTATAGTTAAGGGACCCTGCATATCTGGTTTTATGGTTCGAGGACGATTTTGTATCTCGCTGACAAGTTGAGGGACCTTCGATGTACTTTTTCCCTCAATAATCGATGGCACTGATTTGGGCTTGTGGCCGAGGCACGGCCCATTTCCTGGCAGTAAGTACGGACGCTGCGGTCACGCGTGCGAGGGACAGAGGATACACCTGCGTAAATCCGCAAAGGCATATGCAGGTGGGCCGTGGAGTCGTTAGTGAACAGCAGGTGCATCAGGAATACACAAGCAGTGAGTCTAATACAGGTCCCTCATATCTTGTTCTTGTTCTCTCAATCACCGTTTTCAAAAACCAGTGCAAATCGACTATTTCGATAATTTGAGAAATGGTTTCTACTAACGTGGCTAAGATTGACCACGGTTGAATCGCTGAGTAAGCACAAGCTAAACCAACCATTCCTTTCGGCAAGCCACGGCCTAAATGGCAAGGTTAATTTTTCAGTTTAGGAATAGATATGTAAATAAATAAAATTATTGCGGTTCTTAACGATTATGAGGTAGCAACACAAGTGATCGATGGCAGGTACCTAGGCCATAGTACGAAAACCCGGACCGGACGTTGAACCGGTGAGAAGCTCGGTTCACCGGTCCAGCGGTCGAACCGCGGTTTATACGGTCAAGTATATTTATTATTTTACCATGGTTAGAACTGCATGTGTAGCCTAGTGGTTGTCCAAGCGTTGCTCCAACCTAGCCACCTAGGACTAGGATCTATCCTCCTCCCCCCTCACTCATTTTTGCACATAAAAACCAGTCCACCTCCATTTATCAACCAATTGGGCTATTGGGCCCTAAGTGCTCACGCCATCGGGTGGCCCAATGGCATGACCCGGCGGTTCAGAGTGTTGCCGGTTCAGCGGTTTAATGTAAAAACCATCCGGTTCAGCCGGTTCACCACCGGTCCAACTACGTGAACGGTCTTTCAAACAGACTGAGCCGGTGTGGTGTCTGGTTCTGGTTCAACCGCCAGTCCGGTCCGGTATTTTGTACTATGACCTAGGCATCAAGGCGAGCGACGATGGAAATGATGGATTCATGGATGGACAAACAAACCAGTCGGCGTAGATGCCGGTTCTTGCGCCTGAGAATCTCCAAGCAAATCAACTTCCGGCCTTTCTGCTCTGGTGGCTGCTAGCCGCAATTTTGACAATTTGACTCTTTTCAATAACTTATTTCGAAACTGAACTAGGCAAAAAAAACTTTAACCAAAAATAAGTTTTTCAAAAGTACCAATTTGTCAAATTTGTACGACTGCTAGGCGAGAGGGTATGAGCTGGCGGCCCGCGTGGCATGCATGGCTCATCGATCGTACCCACTGTTGTTACCAAGGGAGTTATTATGAAGGGGGCCAGATTTGTGTCCTAATATAAAATGCCTTCAAAATTTTTAAACCTGTATAGAAAAATAAGAAAAGTTTGAACTTCTAAGAAGAGAATATATTCTAACCGTTAATCTATCCTTAATTTGATTGTCACTAAACCATGCGTCTTCATGAGTCTTCATGAGACGATTCGGCCATAATAACCTTAAATTCCTTTCTTTTTCGCTAAATAACTTGAAGTTTCTTGATGTCCCAAATTTTGCTTGTAGCAATATTAAATGGTATGTATTCAGATGGTATGCTTGATAATTTTTCACTTGACCCAAAAGTCGATTCAAAAGTCATATAACCTTGATCTATCTTCTAAGTCGATAATGGTATTTAGGTATATCTGAACTAAATTTGCTCTTATGACATAATTTTGGAACAAACTATAGTCTTACATTTTAATAATATGGATGCCCATGCATCACATAATCCATCCTCCTAGTTACTTCAGGGTTCAATCTATCAGAAGGTGGAAAATTTTTGGGGTAGCTAAATAATATAATTTTCGAAATTTCGGAAATCTTTCGGAAATTTTGAACGAAATTTCCAAAAAAGTTTGACTTTAAACAACAAAAATTACTGAAATTTGACATAGACAGAATAGACAAGAATCGAGCCCATCCAACCGAAAGCAGAGGGACAGGATCGGAGAATGAAACGCAAGGATATATTGTGTCGTCGTCGCGTCCTGTGCGGCTTGCGGGCCGTGTGTCGTCGTTGCGGCCGTGCCCGACAGCCACAAAACCGCCGCCGGCCACTCCATCGACACGAGGATGCGAGGCCCGTGGCTTGTGTCGCCGTCGCGGGCACTCCAGCCAAACCCGAGGATGCGAGGCCCGCGCTGCCGCGCAGCTTGTGTTGTCGTCGTCGCGCCAGAGAGCAGCGAAGGTGCCGCCGACCACTTAAGCCACCCGGCTGCCTCCGGTTCAGGGATGCAAGTAGGTAGTCTCGCTACCGACATGAAAACCTGTACCTGTTTGCTAGTTCATTTTTATAGGGTAGTATAAAATTTAAAAGAAAAATAAACTAGAGGTGAGATAAGCAGGCTAAAAAAACCCGCTTGTCCGTCCCGCTTGCATCACTGTTCCAGCTTGGGGAGGATGGCGGAGAAAGTGAGGTGGGGACTGGGGAATGGGAATTGGGGATCTGAACCATGAACAGTGTTTTGCCTATAAATTTTTGATCGGATGTATCGGGAACCCAACGACACACCCGAAAATTCTTAAATTTCAGAAATCTTGTTCCGGAATTTCGAATCTAGATGTTACTCCCATAAAGTTGAAGAAAAAAAACGTTTTTCTACAACAAAGTTTTATTATATAAATATATGTTAGTTTATGTTACAACAAAATAAAATCAACATTTCTTTACTATCTAATTTAGTCTACAAATTTGCGACGACAAAGATGTCATGCTCGTATGCCTGGTTTCAAACTGGCCACAGGATTAATAAAAGATTAATTGTTCCAATACCAATCATTGTTCATCTATACGTTGTTGGAGATCGACATGGAATAGTTCAACAGATCGACGACCAAGTTGCATCGCATCACAAGTCAGCGAATGATTTAGAACCATGTATATATAATACTCCCTCAGTCCCTTGGTTACATAAAAATTTGACTAAACTTATAGAAAAATTTAGTAACATCTACAACACCAAATTAATTTCATTAAATAATAAAATAAATATATTTGATAATATCTTTGTTTTGTGTTAAAAATATTGCTATCTTTTCTATAAATTTGGTCAAACATAACAAGTTTGACTATAAAAAAATCAAAAACTACTTGGAATATGAATAGGAGGGAGTAGTAGTATACTACAAACACTTCAGCTACATATATTTCACACACAGAAACCATGATTCAATCATTACTACGAAATAAGATTCTCCAGACGGTAAAAAAAAAAAAGAAAAATCGTAGGCGGCCCAGCTCCCTGCCTGCGACTGAAAGCCAATGAAAATGGTAATCTTCACAAGCGGGCCTTCACCGCTTGCGAAAATTAGCTAGGGTAAGCCGATCACCTGTGATGATAATTTTTAGCACAAAAAAATAAACAAATCACACAGCCAAATCTCGTTTTGCCTGCAATTTCCCAAATACATGAACAAGCAAGCATCAATCTTTATACAAAAGATCAACTTGAACACATCAACGGCCACAGAATATCAGGTTGAATATGAACAAACAGTAACACAACACATCGCAAAAACATCAACATGAGTCTCGTCGTGGCTGCGGGACACTCGAATAAGGGCAAGGGAAATAATAGAGTAAACATCTTACTATTAGTATCCTCCACATCATCTATAGATGGTTTAACAGACGACATTTACAATAAGATAGTACATGCTGTCTCTAAGCCGTCTCTAGCAAAGCAAGCTGCATTTAATTCTCTAATTGTATCTTTCAAGTTATGTAGGATCAACTGTAAACATCACTTGAGTAGCCACTTATATGTCAACCATAGATGGAAGACTATGTTCAATCAATAAAAAAATAAATCATGTGATTTATCACAAAGCAGATGGATTTATCAACAACAATGGTGTAATATTCCTAATTCATTCGAACTAATTCATTCGAACTAAACAGTACAATAGTGATTCAGATTGTTACTTGATCGAAAGAATATTCACAGATTGACAAATAACTAATTCATAGACCGACAAAATAACTTAGTCTGTTGCAATGATCCATACATCAACATTCGACAAAAGAAATTAGGCCATTACAACGATCCATACTGCCAATAGATGGTAACAACACAAGTGTTCTTACATGACACCAGCGAATTACTAAAAATTACTTTATAACTAGATTATCTTTCTCAAGCAGAACCAAAACAAGCTGCCAGCCTTCCAAATTGAGCATCTTCACTACCTGTCATTAAAGCAACATTATTTCCATGGAATATAGGAGGCTGATCATTATAGAACAATTGTAGCATATAATCTGGATGGCAAAACAACTGGAAGGAAGTAGTACTACTATTTTAAGTAGACTATTAAAGGACTTATTTGATTATGTTGTTCTTTGGACTGTACAGTGCAAGTAGACATGTACATACCTCTCAAAACCATAGCAGAAAGCACCAAAAAGCTAGCACCAAAGTTTTCCATTGTCCCTGAAATAAATAAATAAAATGATAAGTGAATTAAGATGCTTGCAATTGTAATTGAAAATGTGAAAACAAGATGCTTAATGTCCTACCACAACTAAGTACGACGGGTATTGCTAAACTTTTGCCAAATATGTTCAACCAGATCTTTTTTTAGTTGGGAATGTGGTGCACGAGCACGTATTGCAGCTTTCCTACGCAGCACCTGATCAAAGCATGGATTGTGCCCAGTAGTTACTTCAGGAGGAAGAGCAACCGATGCTCCAGGGTCCACATTCAGATCAATAGGAATTTTAAACCCCCCCTCTCTCATTTTCAACTATCATATTATGGAGAATAATACAAGCTTTCATGATTCTCCCAACACTCTTCCGCTTCCACGACCGTGCTGGGTGGCGCACAATATTGAAACGGGACTACAGGACCCCAAATGCACACTCCACGTCTTTCCTTGCCCCTTCTTGATACTGTGCATATAGCTTGTGCTTCTCTGTTTGTGGAGCAGCTATTGACTTCACAAAGGTAGCCCATTTTGGATATATTCCATCAGCAAGGTAGTATCCTGTGTTATACTCATTACCATTGACAGAAAACTTTACTCTAGGAGCTTCCCCTTTCAGCACATCAAGAAATAGTGGGGATTGGTTCAGCACATTGATGTCATTATTTGACCCCGTGACACCGAAGAAAGCATGCCATATGCGGAGGTCACGAGTAGCAACCGCTTCGAGGATAATTGTTGGCACTCCATAGTCACCGCGGGTAAACTGCCCTCTCCATGCTGTTGGGCATTTTTCCCACCTCCAATGCATGCAATCAATACTGCCTAGCATCCCAGGGAAGCCCCTAGACTCATTAACTTGAAGTATACGCTCCACATCCTCATATGTGGGACGTCGCAAATACTCTGAACCAAATACCTCAATCACCCCTCGTGCGCACATATCCAAGCACTGCAAGGACGTGCTCTTGCCAATCTTAAGGTACTCATCTAGGCTATCAGCAGGGCTGCCATACGCTAGCATGCGCATTGCAGCTGTGCACTTCTGTAAAGGTGAGAGCCCTTGGCGACCACTGCAATCTACCTTTAGTGTAAAGTAAGGAGACCACCTTCCAAGGGCACTCACTATGCGAAGAAAAAGGGGTCTTCCCATACGAAATCTTGTACGGAACATGCTCTCAGGGTAAAGAGGGTCTTCACTAAAGTAGTCAGCTATGAGACGATGATGTGCTGCTGTGTGATCCCTCTTGATTGTCTTCCTTGTCACACTCTTCCTTCTGATTTTTCCAATTCTAAGCTTGGTCTTGATCTTTTCCATGACCCTTCTTGCAAAAGAATCTATGAGGTTCTGCTCAACAATGTATTGGTCTATAATTTTGGAAGGATCTAATTCACCAGAATCATCTGGAGACATGGTGGAGACAAGGAGTGCAAGGAATGGGAAAGAAGTGTTGAAAGGAATGGGAAAGAAGTGTTGAAAGGAATGGCAGAGGGATGGATAGTTAGCACCATTAGACCAATATATATATATATGGGCCAACAGTACACTGTTGGGAATGCATACTAGCTAGTAGCATGTTTATTTGAATTACCCTTAATTAGATTATTGGGAATGCATACACAGAGCATGTTTATTTGGATTACTATTAATTAGACTATTGGGAATGCATACACAAAGCATGTTTATTTGGATTACTATTAACTAGACTATTGGGAATTCAAGACTGCATGTTTATCTGCACATTGTTGACTTGACTGCATGTTAATTTTGCAACTGCTGACTTGACTACATGTTTTTCTGGAAATAATAGCTACATGCTGATTATATTACAAGTTAGATTACATCAATATTTGCAACTCTTTGAATTGTGCAAGAAACATATATATGTTTGCAGGAAGTTCAATTGCAGCAAGTAAAAAAAAATACAACAAGCTTTAATTAGAGACTGGAAAGTGAAGATACCTTAGTATTACGGAAACAACTTCTCCCTCATACACTTCAATGCCATCAAATGCTCGGATCTAACATCATCAGGAATATCTTTTGTATCTTGTAACATGAGAGACCGATATGTTTCCAACATAACAGCCTCCTTGTGCTCCATGGCTGCAAGGTGCGCTAACTTTTTTGATTCAAGGTTATCACTAGCAACACGCCTCTGAGTCTCTAGTAGTTCATCACGACCTTTATTTGCCATCTCCTGAACTTCTTTAAGCTTGTCAATTTCATCATCAGTATCTGATAGATAAACCTTTGCCTTCCTTTTGCGTCTGCCTTTACCATTACGTTGCGCCTTAGCAGTTTTTGTTCCTATTGGACGTTTAATATCTTCAGGACTGTTAGGAGTGGACATTTGCTCCATCACTTCCACTTAATCATCCATCTTTGGTTTGTTTGGCTTCTCAAGTTCCTCCAAGTAAGAATGCCACTTTGGTTGGTCACGAAGAATGTTCCAACAATGCAGAAATGAAAATGGGCCTTCCTTGTAATCTGCTTGATATGCTGCTTCAGCCTTTTCCCTGAGTTGCATATCATTTTGTCCACTAACATATATGGATTTAACCTCTTTATAAACACAACAGAAACGGCCAACATTTTTCTTAATTTTATGAAAACGGTCTTTGATTTGTTTTTCTTGCCTTGTCCTGTTTTTGGGAGTGGTGCTATTATACTCAGCAGTAACATCTCCCCAATAACGATCATTTTTCTTAAAATTACCACTGATCGAATCATTCGAGTTGTTTAGCCAAGCACTCACCTATAATCAAAACAAAACAGGATTAGTCCTATACTAGAAATAAAGTAACAGTCAATGAGAAAACACGATTCATTGCCTACATCCTTATTTACTTACTAGTCTTATGTCCTCCTCTGTTGACCATGTCAACCGCTTCTCAGTCCTAACAGTGTGGGCTTCTTCATCACCACTATCAATGTTGACAGGTTGTTGTGCTCCTGGACGTAATTTTGAACATGGTGCTACTTGTTCAGCAGGATAATAATTTGGAGGCACAAAAGGTCGATGATTCTGTAAAATTGATGGATCCTGAAAGTAACTTAAGAAACCACCAGGCGGATGAAAGTCCATACCACTGCAAGAAAAAGACAGAGATCCAAAATTATTGCCAGATAACATCCTTAGCACTTTTTTTCTCTTCATCTGTAAATGAGTACATTAAAAATTGACAAAGCACAGCCTATGATACTAATAATTCTCATGCCATATAAAATTACTATTTTTGTGTTTGTAGATAAGTTGATTTGTCTGTTCACTACCTATGTAGTAAGAGTTCTTGATTATTCAAGAGTAAAGTCCATCACCGGTCCCTAAACTTGTACCGCTGTGTCATCCTAGTCCCTAAACTCGCAAATCGACCGTTCAGGTCCTCAAACTTGTTCGACTGTGTCATCCCGGTCCCTAAACTTGCAGATCACTCATTTAGGTCATCCAACTTGTTCAATTGTGTCACCCCGGTCCCTAAATTTGGATTTGAATATCATCTGGGTCAAATAAAACGGTCTAAAGACTTTATATTTAAAAATAATTCATAACTTTTTCATGTGAATTATAATGAAGACAAACTTTATATCAAACTTGTAGCCCTCGACGTGATCTACAACTTTGTAGTTGATTTTTTTTAATTTAAGTCATTTTTTGTCCCAAAATGTAATTTTAAAATTAAAATTTCAAAATCTATAAACATGCAACAATATTTTGGGACCATAAACAGTTTTAATTCAAAAACCTTTCAACTACAAAGTTGTAGGTCGTGTCGAGGGCTAGAATTTTGATATAAAGTTTGTCTTCATTAAAGTTCACATGAAAAAGTTATGAATTATTTTTTATATAAAGTTTTTAGACCGTCCTGTTTAGAGACCGGGGTGACACAACTGAACAAGTTGGAGGACCTAAACGAGTGATCTGCAAGTTTAAGGACCGGGATGACACAGTCGAACAAGTTTGAGGACCTAAACGGTCGATTTATGAGTTTAGGGACCAGGATGACACAGCGGTACAAGTTTAGGGACCGGTGATGGAATTTACTCATTATTCAAAGTGTATGTGTAGATTAGTACAAAAAATTTGGCCATGCACTGACCTATGTACACTAGTTATTGCTATAAAATAAATCTATATGTATCTGTAGCCCTTGCTTACTATCAAGTTATTCTCTTGCCATAAAATTTTTTCCCTTTCCGAATATAGCAAGACTTAACTTTAGTATGAGAAACATATGTACACGTTGATTCTTGACATATTAGCAGGGGATATGCTAATCTGCTAGCAGCAGATCAGATCGTGAGGGGAAAACTAGAATACGGCAAGAATAAAACTTAGTTAGTCAACACCATTAATTTTCTAATCAACATGGAGGTACACGGAACTTCCGGAGCAAATCAATCCAAAACCATTCAATATCAAAAGTACATACCGTTCTTGCAGATCTGACAAATCAATGGCACTACGATCCAATCCTTGCTTCATTTGGGCCATGGGAAAAGCAGAAGCAGCGGCGCCGTACGCGTAGAGCAAAGGGTGCGGCGGCTGCGGTGGCGCCGGACCTTGCCAGGCACCACTGCCTAAGGATCCCGGCAACATCATGCCAGATGCGAAGGATCCCGGCGAGGCTTGCGACGGAGATGGCGGCGGCGGCGGCGCAACCTCCCGTTTCGAGCGACCCATTGTTTCAGCAGATTGAGTTGAGGGATTACTAACTAGATGGGGTATTTCAGTAGGAATTTGACGCTTCGACTAACTAATTTGGCGCGTGAAGTGCGATTTTTTTTCCCGCGGATGGGGATTTACCGCCAAATATACAGAGAAGGGATGAGCCATGGAGCATGGGATGCAAAAGGCCAAGAAAGCGCGTTATTGGTCGACGGCATCGGCTCCTGCATCGTCTCCACGCCTACTCCATCCATCTTGTTGCTCGTGCCGAGCTGTCGATTAAACATGCGCCCGCTTTCTTCTCTCTCTTCCTTTCTCTGTCCTCCAGCTTCTCTTCCTTTCTCTGTCCTCCAGCTCAGATTGTGATGACCTGGACGGGCTAATAGTAGGTTGATTAGTCCTTATTGTACTTGCCCTAAGCTGTGGAGGCTAGATCTACCACCCACCGTCATCACTAAGCACCGTGTTTGTCAGGTTCACTATTCCCACGCTGTTGCCGTTGTCCCCGAGGGCCTCGTTCACCAGATCAACCGCTACCGTCGTCGATCCATCGTAGTCGCCAAGGGTCATAGCCGCCGGATCCACCACTCCCAAGCCTGCCGCCGACGAATCTAGGGAGGTGGGCACACCATCATTGATCCGCGCCTCAAAGACACATGGCCGCTGAATCCACGTCCTAGGGACCCGAGGCCATTGGATCTCCCGTTGAATTGAAGCCGCTACCCGGATCTAGCCGTCACCTTGACCACCATCGCTGGATGTGGACGCACTAATCGTTGCGCGCGCGGTTGAGGGTATCGTGCATGGCAGAGCTTGTGCGGCCTTGGTTCCGTGTGTCGCCGCCTTGATCTGCCGTCGCCGAGAGCCCCCACCTTGGATTTGCTCGTCGCAAAGCACAACTGCCAAGCCCCATCTGGATCTGCCCGCGTGCTACCGCCAGAATCCGCCGTCGAGCCCCGCCTGGATCCACCCGCATGCTGTTTCATGGATCCGCTGCCAAGCTCCACCTCGGATCTGCCCGAGCACTGCCACATAGGGGTGCTGCCGCCTCGTGCTTGGAGAGGAGGGAGGAGGGATCAAAAGGGAGTGAGGGTGGTGATAAGCTTGAGAGATTGAGGATTAGACTTAAGAAACGTATGGGTGGAGAGGATAATTGCTTTTATTGCGCTTGAAGTTTATTTATTTTTTAATAGTGGTTAGCTAAGAGAACTGTTTGTGAATTTTTTTTTTACAAACTGCCCCGTTACCCCAACCGTAAGGAAAAATAGTGTTATTTTCACCTGCGGTCCTTTTAGGACGAGCACTTATATAAGTTGATTGTCGCAAGTCGTTACTCCCTCCGTCTCATAATATAAGGGATTTTGAGTTTTTGCTTGCACGATTTGACTACTCGTCTTATTTAAAAAATTTTGGAATTATTATTTACTTTTTTGTGACTTACTTTATTATCCAAAGTACTTTACGCACAACTTTTTATTTTTTATATTTGCATAAATTTTTTTGAATTAGATGAGTGGTCAAACACTACAAGCAAAAACTCAAAATCCCTTATATTATGGGGCGGAGCCGCGGAGGGAGTACTAACCAAGGATTTTCCGATTGCATTTTCACAAGCGAAAATAAGGTGACGTCATGAAAAAAACATTTTTTTTAAGTAGAGAACGTTCAAAAGCATCCAAGTGTACAACGTGATCTCCATCCCTTCAATTTTTCTATTAGAGTAAGTTCAATAGTATAGCCAACTACTAGCTCCAATTAATCTATAGCCAATCTAATAGCTCATCCATACAATAGTTACATACTACACTATTAATACCTGGTCCCACCTGTTATAGACACACTGCGTCTTGGAGTCCGTGCTACAGCCGGCTACAAATCTGTAGCCCGCTGCTATTCTCTCTCCTGATTTATCTTCTTAAAATATGTTTGCAGCTGACTTATAGCCTGCTATTGTACCTGCTCTTAGGGGTGCACATAAGTTTCAGCTGTCAGTTGATTCTTCCGGAGTTCGTGACCACGTCAGAGTTTTCCGCCTAGCATGCGTGCAGACCGACGACCAGTCATGCATGCATGCTGATGGACGCGCGCTCGTACGTGTTTTCAATTTTCACCAAGCGGAGCCGATCCCGCGTACGTGCGCGCAGCAACCAAGAGAGAGGAAACTATATAAAGCACACCTCCGTTCCATGAGCTCCACACTCATCATCCACAGCAAAGCAACTCAAGCCACCACCGATATATCCCGGTGAGTTACCTAAGATCTCTTGCTCAGAGCGTGTCGAAAGAGTACGACCTCGGGCTTTCAGCAGCCATGGCGTTGTCCAAGGGTCTCTTCGTCGCTTCGTTTACGCTATTTCTCCTCGTGGCTCTGGCGTTCGCCGACGAGAGCAGGCCGGAGCTCTCACCGGCGTACTACAAGAAGACGTGCCCCAACCTGGAGAACGCCGTGCGCACGGTGATGTCGCAGAGGATGGACATGGCGCCGGCCATCCTCCGCCTCTTCTTCCACGACTGCTTCGTCAACGTAAGTAGTATATCACTCTCTCATAGTAGGTAGGAGGACGCCATTACGAGTGCTTTTATCTCACAATATTCGATGGCATGCAGGGATGTGATGCCTCTGTTCTTCTTGACCGGACGGACTCCATGGAGAGAGAGAAAGACGCCGAGCCGGCCAACACCTCGCTCGCCGGATTCGACGTCATCGACGAGATCAAGTCGGTGCTCGAGCACGACTGCCCGGCCACCGTCTCCTGCGCCGACATCCTCGGGCTCGCCTCCCGCGACGCCGTCGCCCTCCTCGGCGGGCCCAGCTGGAGCGTGCCGCTCGGCCGCATGGACTCGCGCCGAGCCAGCAAAGACGACGCCGAGAGCGTCGACAACCTCCCGAACCCGAACAGCGATCTCGGCGAGCTCCTCAGGGTGTTCGAGACGCACGGCCTCGACGCCCGCGACCTCACCGCGCTCTCCGGCGCGCACACCGTCGGCAAGGCCCACAGCTGCGACAACTACAGGGACCGCATCTACGGCGCCAACAACGACAACATCGACCCCTCCTTCGCCGCGCTCCGCCGGCGGTCGTGCGAGCAGGGCGGCGGCGAGGCGCCGTTCGACGAGCAGACGCCGATGCGGTTCGACAACAAGTACTTCCAGGACTTGCTCCAGCGGCGCGGCCTCCTCACCTCCGACCAGGAGCTCTACACCCATGGCGGGGAGGTAAGCGACCTGGTGGAGATGTACGCGACGAACCGCGAGGCGTTCTTCGCGGACTTCGCGAGGGCGATGGTGAAGATGGGGAACATACGCCCGCCGCAGTGGATGCCACTGGAGGTGAGGCTCAACTGCAGGATGGTCAACAATTGATGGCTGGGTGCATGCTTCAAGTTGTAAGGCAAATTCTTGTACAAAATAACACATTTTTTTTTTCCAAAACTTAACATCGATTGAATATTGTGCCTGTGTGGCACTAGTACGAAAAAACAAACAAACAATGATCAAGATTTTTAAATTTCACTCGTTCATGTACAAGGCACGCAGTATAGACAACGACAACACAATTACTACACATCCCTACGCATACGGTACAACGATCAATATATTTGCGTAACGACGGCGCCGGCCGGCCGCTCAGAGCGTGGCATGGTCGTGGCACTCCTGGCTGCGTATCCCCATCTCCGGGACGCCGAAGACGACATGGCAGTCGGAGTACGCCACCGCGTGCAGCTTCAGCACCCCGAACACGGCCACCTTCCCGGGGATCCTCGCGCTCGCGTCGAACGGCACGGCGCCGGCCTCGATGTCCCTGATCAGCTCCGCCATGACGTCCCCGGTGAAGCTGCTCGACAGCACCGTCATCTCCATCTGCACGGCGCCGTCCCCTCTGCTGGGGATGCGGCCGGCCTCGACGACGGCGTCGCCGACGTGGGCGCCGCGGTACGTGAGGTCGGCGTGGCCGCCGGAGTCGGACGAGTAGGTGAAGGACGCCGGGTTGGGGTTGTGCACGGCCACCGTGAGCAGCAGCGTCACGTTGATCTGGGGCGACGGGGGCGCCAGGTTCGGCGAGACGCCGACGACGCGGACCGACACGAGGCGGGTGGCCGGGTCGCGGACGCGGAACACGGTGAGGGAGAGGACGAGGACGGCGACGCCGAGGAGCGCCAGCGTGGCGATTGTCACGACGAGGCAGACGACGCAGCACCGCCGCCGCTGATGCTGACGCCGGCGTGTCTCGCCGTCTGGGGCGGCCTTGGAGGTGCACGCCTGGTGTGTGGGGAGGCCGTCGGAGGCGGAAGGACGGAGACAGACGTCGCCACTGCCGTCGGTGGTCGTGCAGGCAGTGGCCATTGCGTGGTCGATCGAGCGGCAGTGCAGTGGATGGCTGGAAGCGAGTGAGCAGAACTAATGGAGACGTTCAGTAAATTTGATTTAATTTGTGGGTGTATCTGGTTCCGTTTGTATCAGTATTTATAGGTTCTGGTTAAACGTTTCCTACCGAATTGGATTGGAGGAAATAGTAAATGATTTTCTTCAATTTAACGGATGGATGATATGATGAAGCCAACCTACTTGGACCGGCAGGCGTGGCGGCGCCGTTCCGTCTAAACTTGTTACAGTTTTTTTAATTGTTGGAGGGCAGTTGATCGTGTGGGGAATGGGTGAGTTGCTTTCTTCTGAATAATGAGCTGAAACGAAAGTGGAAGCATGTCGAAGAAACGGTAGAACTGACGTATTTCCCACACTCAATTTTTGAAAGGAACCCTTGCTCTTTTAATTCCAAGTTGCTAGGGTTTTGTTTGGAGGAGCTCAAAATTCCGAGAAACAATTTGTGAATAACACGATAGTAAGTAATAGAAAAGCTAGATTCCAAGCTTCTATATTTTAATTTGTTTTCTGAAATATATAATAAAAAAAATCTAGCTTCGTATCTAAATGAAAATATGTACTGTTTGGAATGCTGGAGATTCTAGAGGAGATTGTAGCTACCAGATACTGTCTCCGTCCCATAAAAAAACCAACTTAGTACCTATCCAGATCTTCTATGGGACGGAGGGAGTACTCCCTTAAACATGGCCTATGGATTAAGGTATGGGACAGCATGTGAGTCGGATTATAAGTTTATTCGCTTTTGGAAATACATATCTGTCAACGTTTGATGTCGCGATTCCGGTATTTGCACAGTATGGGGATCGTTGGTACTAGGATATATGCGAGACCGAGGTAAAAGAGATGGAGACAAGGATTTTTATACAGGTTCGGGCCCCTGAATTATCAGGTAATAGCCCTACATCCTGTTGGCTGAAGCCGGTCGTTGCTCTTATTCACCATAATCACACAAGTACAATATTTGGGGTAGCCTATCTAACTGTTGTCGATATGGCGGTCTGAAGGTCTGACTCGTAGTCGACGACACGGTAGTCTTCCTCCTCGATTCCGCATCCGGCGAGATCAGAGACAACGCTATATATCCTGACGGTATCCATAGGCACCGTAAGGAACTAGCCATGCCTGCCTCTGAAGTCGATATCCGACGTCTTGTCTTGGCGTATGTTGGCTTGTATGTTGATCCTGTGTCTTGATCTATTTTTCTGTGTCCCCTCTCCTCCTAGGGGACCTTGTATTTATACCAATAGGTGTCCCCTTTTCCATGTAAAACTAGGGAAACCAATATGGATACAATCCGAGTAGTCCTTATCGTTTCCATGTAGAACTCTATTCATCATTCCTTATGCGGAACTCCTCCTATATCCAGAGGTTGTATTCGTATAAGACATGGTATGTGGTGGGTCCTGCCGAGATTTAGTCAACTACTATTAGGTATGTGGTATTCATAACCCTGACAATATCCGTATTTAAGTCGGTTTTCAAGATCGTTCACTTTTGGTAATACAGAAGGAGTCATATAAGAAATCTGTTTAAACAAACTCGCATACTAATTTGAGACGATCGGATTCCTAACTGCAGCTCATGATTTTCTAAAAATATATAAATCCAAGCAAACTCCCAGAGTGAATTTCATCTTAACTAAACTATATAACAATAATAAGATTAAAATAAACTTCACCCATTGTAACACACGGGTATTTTTTCTAGTATAGATGAATTTTATCTTTCGCTGACTATGCCATCATTCAAGGTTTCAAGCGCCACATTAGAGAAAAAAAACGTATCGTTTAATCTTAATATTGTAAATGGATTGAAATGATTAGGGAAGAATAATTGTTTACAAGTTTTCTCTCTTGGATTTGGGCGCGTCTAGGACGCGAACGTTCGCATAGCACGAACGCATCAGCAGGGTAAATTCCAACAAGTCCATTCCGTGTGCATGGGCACCTTTCACTTTCGACCGACGTGCTAGCTGGCTCGTTCGCTTGCAGCCCAATACATACAGCCCACAATATTTTAGCCTAATTTATTTTTGTTTCTAAACTTTATAGGCATATACATACATACCACATATAAAATTTATACCATAGAAAAAATCAGTGTAGGGATGTTACGCATAGAAACACATTTAGTATACAAACTTTGCATATATAAACTTTATACCATGAAAAAATTCGGTGTAGGAATTTTGCACATCGAAACAATTAGTATAATTTATACACGTTAATTTTTTTAGACAGAAATACACGTAAATATTTGGTATAGAAACTTTATATATAGAAATATTGAAAACAAAACAAGCAATAGAAAGTACAAAAATGTCTATTGTGGGTTGCATGGCCCATGTTTTCTTGCTACAGCCTAGAAGGCCTTCATTTGAATAATTGGATTAGGTTCAAGCCCGTCATAAGGGTAAAAAAGAAGAAAGGTTGACCTCAACGAAACAGGCTTGGCCCGAAAAGGAAACAGTGGCCCGTTTGCTGGCACGATCACCGCGAACGTTCACGCACTAAGTATTTCGGCTCAGTTCTGCTCGCAATCTGGCTCGTTAGGCTTTTAATGTATTTATGTCACCCTTGTAATATTAATTTTGTTGTTTTATCATACATTAACATAACAGTAAACACTAACCCATAAAAGAAATAACTAAATACAATTAGTTTGGAGGTAACTAAAATACTAAACAAAAGTTAATTAATAAGCACTAAGTATATATAATAATATAATATAAAGATATGACGATGTTTTATATATACTAATAAGCTAAATGAATAGCTTAATTACAAGATAGCTTACTAAGATCACGAGTTTAAAGCCTAGCTCATCTTGGCTCGTTATTGAAAAATAAATGAAAAATTCATTCCTAAGGTTCTTATTCTTCGAATTAAGAATGGCCCCAAACCATTTCTTAGTGTTGAATTATGACTGCGCCAAGTTTCTCAGTGTTGGGATGTATAAACATATATAATAAACAAAAAGAATACAGTTACAGTATTTTGTACAACTTTCTTTGTCAAAAGAAAACTAATTCAGACCTACATCTGATTCCCACATAATCGGGCTGCACACCTGACAATAAGAAAAGGTCAGGGTCAGCCATCAATTGTTGACCATCCCGCAGTTGAGCCTCACCTCCACCGGAATCCACTCCGGCGGGCGTATCTCCCCCATCTTCACCATCGCCCTCGCGAAGTCCGCGAAGAACGCCTTACGGCTCTTCGCGTACAGCTCCACAAGCTCACTAGTTACCTCCCCGCCATGGGTGTAGAGCTCCTGGTCGGAGGTGAGGAGCCCGCGCCGATGGAGCAGGTCCTGGTAGTATTTGTTGTCGAACCTCATCGGCGTCTGCTCGTCGAACGGCGCCTCGCCTCTGCCCTGCTCGCACGACCGCCGGCGGAGCGCGGCGAATGAGGGGTCGATATTGTGGTCGCCATAGACGCGGTCCCTGTAGTTGTCGCAGCTGTGGGCCTTGCCGACGGTGTGCGCGCCGGAGAGCGCGGTGAAGTCGCGGGCGTCGAGGCCGTGCGTCTCGAACACCCTGAGGAGCTCGCCGAGATCGCTGTTCGGGTTCGGGAGGTTGTTGGCGTCCTCGGCGACCGCTTTGCTGGCTTGCCGCGAGTCCATGCGGCCGAGCGGCACGCTCCATCTCGGCCCGCCGAGGAGGGCGACGGCGTCGCGGGAGGCGAGCGCGAGGATGTCGGCGCAGGAGACGGTGGCCGGGCAGTCGTGCTCCAGCACCGACTTGATCTCGTCGATGACGTCGAACCCGGCGAGCGAGGTGTTGGCCGGCTCGGCGTCCTTCTCGCTCTCCATGGTGTCCGTCCGGTTCAGAAGAACAGAGGCGTCACAACCCTAAATGTGTCATGGATGATTGTGAGACACAAAAGCATTTGTGCATTCTCCTCTCATATGGGGTGTCGTGCAGTACGAGACTAGTACATATACTTACGTTGACGAAGCAGTCGTGGAAGAAGAGGCGGAGGACGGCCGGCGCCATGTCCAGCCTGTGCTCCATCACCGTGCGCACGGCGTTCTGCACGTTGGGGCACGTCTTCCTGTAGTACTTGGCAGACAGCTCCATCGCCACCGGCATTACGACCGGCTGGTGGCTTCCCTCGCCGGTGGACGCGAGAACCGCGAGGAGCAGAGAAAGCGAAGCGACGAAGAAACTCTTCGAGATTCCCATCTGAAAGCCCCAGGAGCCCGAACTCGCCCACCTGCTGACGGACGCAGGTTCGGAGAGAGAGGATCGGACTAAGCTAGTGATCGACGATGATGGCCAGTGAATTGCTAGCTGATCGCAGTGTTGCTGTGGGTGTGAAGCTCATGGAGCGGAGGCGTATGCTTTATTATATAGGTTTGCTTCTCCATCCTCGCGGCGCGTACGCGGGATCGACCATGCATGAGAAAGCGGCGGGAGTTAGTTGCACGCATGCGTGTGCACGACAGCACGACGACGTGTTCGCCGGTCTCCATGAATGCAAGGCTCGTGCACCTTTGGCCGGAAATTCTGACATGGTCATCAACAAGAGGAGTTGACAATTACGTGTGGGGACGATAAAGTAGGAGTCACTAGTATAGATCCTTCTATCTGTGACGGGCTCTAATATGCTTAGAAATAGCGGGCCGTCATAAGAAAGTCATCTCAATCGGGCCAAAAAGTGCCCGATTGAGATATGGTCGCACAGACATGTTAGATAGGCATAAAACCTAAGCCCGTCACGGATGATACCTATCAGTGACGGGCCGTAGTTTAGGCCCGATTGAGATAACATTCCATATCTCAAACGGGCCTAAAGTTACGGCCCGTCACAGATGACCATTATCCGTGACGGGCCACAACTTGAGGCCCGTTTGAGATAACAGCTAGGCCCGTCACAGATGACTCATCAGTGACGGGCTATATACTTAAACTCTATCGGGCATTAACTAAAGCCCGTCACCGATGACTATTTTTCCATTTTTCATATGAAATGTTTATATTTGTAATTTGACTATAGCAAAATAATTAAGTGCAGTATAATAATTCATTGTATGAGTCAAAACAATTTTACGGGTAGTAAATGATTTCAAATGGAAAAAATGTCAACAACAAAGTTGTATAACTTATTAAGATTTACAACTTTTAGTTTGGTCATTTTTCTATATAACATTTTTATGAACAGCTTGAATTTGAATTTGAAAATATGACATCTTCAAACAACATTTTCAGATACTTAAATGATTTCAATTGAAAAAGTCATCAACAACAAAGTTAAATAACTCATCAAGATCTAAAACTTTTATTTTTGTTATTTCTTCATCCGACGAAATGTTAGTAATATTATTCACAAATTTTACATATATGTGTTATAGTTTATAAAACCAGATAAGAGATATGTCAATTTTGTGAACAATGTTACTATCACTTTGTCGTATGAAGAAATGACCAAAATAAAAGTTTTAGATCTTGATGAGTTATTCAACTTTGTTGTTGATGACTTTTCAGTTGATATCATTTAGTATTTGAAAATGTTGTTTGAAGTTGTCATATTTTTAAATTCAAATTCAAACGGTTCAAAGAATGTTATATAGAAAAATGACTAAAATAAAAGCTGTAGGTCTTGATGAGTTATACAACTTTGTTGTTGATGACTTTTTCAGTTGAAGTCGTTCACTGATCTAAAATTCTATTTAAACTTTTCAAAATTTGAATTTCAAATTTCAAATTGTTTAAATAGAGTCAGATGGAGAAATGACCAAAATAAAAGTTTTGCACCCCGATGAGTTCTACAACTTTGGTTTTGGTGACTTTTCCGTTTGAAATCATTTAATAACCCCAATTTGATATCCTGGACTAGGGCTTAACAGGATTAATAGAATACCTATACCAACAAGTTACAACTACTCTTCCGGAAGCCAATCTCCAAATAACTTTGATGTTAAGCGTGCTTGGTCTAGAGCAATTTCAGTTAACTATGGCTATAGTTAATGCCCGTCACAGATGACTCATCTGTGACGGGGTGCACACGAGCGAGGGCAGGGCTAGCCAAAAAATAAAATCTATTTATTTTTGGATTATACTGCTATAGTTAATGCCCGTCACAGATGACTCATCTATGACGGGCTATAGTTAATGCCCGTCACAGATGACTCATCTGTGACGGGCTATAGTTGATGTCCGTCATAGATAAGGGTCATCTGTGACGGGCGCTAGTTGTGGCCCGATAGAGATAGATCATCTGTGACGGGCTATAGTTTGACTGGTCGTCTGAGTCAAAGCTATCGGTGACGGGCTTCACTTAGGGCCCGATTGAGATATATTCATTCGTGACGGCCGTTTGCCCGATTGAGATAACTCTTCACATCAGTGACTTCTAGCCTATGACGGACGCTGTGCCCGATTGAGATGGGGCTTACCGCCCGATTGAGATGAGGGTATCCCTTGTAGTGAGTCGAAATTAACGTATGAATCTTCTCTTAAAATAAAATAAATTTAAAAAAATGAATTGACGTGATGATAGATACAGTATCGTACACTCGCTAGCTTTTGCTCATTGCGCATGGTTTGAAAATTCAAATTAAATATCGCTTCGAGTATTTAGTTTTATTAACTATATACGTATGTGTTGTACGGACACCAATATTTCTAATTTCTGTAACTTCTGATGAGAAGAATAGCAGTAGCAAACCGGGCACCATGTGTTTATTAGGCCTGGTTTAGTTACAAAAACATCGCATCGAATCTTTAGACACATATTTGAAGCATTAAATATAGATAAAAACAAAAATTAATTGCATAGTTTGCATGGAAATCGCGAGACGAATCTTTTGAGCCTAATTAGTCCATGGTTAGCCATAAGTGCTACATTAACCCACATGTGCTAATGATGGCTTAATTAGGATCAAAAGATTCGTCTCACGGTTTCCAGACGAGTTATGAAATTAGTTTTTTCATTCGTGTCAGAAAACCCCTTCTGACATCTAGTCAAACATCCGATGTAACACCTAAAAATTTTCTTTTCACGAACTAAACACATCCTTAATATTAAAATGAAAAAGGTACTCGACGATCTTTGAAAGTCGTTTGATCCGTTCCAAGTCTCCAACAACATTTATAGATAGCGATTTTTTTTTAATAGCTTAATCGATCCTGAGGGCTGAGCTACACCAGTTTGGGAACAAATTAATTAAACACACATCATCTAGCGACTTCCAAAAATAGATCAGTTTTAGTTGACATTGACCAACGCGATACAAAGAACTTGATCGACAATTAATGAAGAGCATTACATTATTGGGTAAAGAGAAAAATTTAGGACGAAACTGGCAAATAATTTGAGTGTTAATCTTTAGTTGCGATCAGGCCCTCAAATGCAGTACTGAGAGCACATTAATTAAGATGGTTGTGAACTAATCGACTGAAAGCACATAAACATGTATATACTTCTGAATTAATGGATGCCCAGTGGCGCCCTTATATATCTCACTAATTATTTAGGGGACATATCCGGTAAAAATGAGCTAAGTGTTGGAAACTCGTGAAAATCATACCTAAAAGTTTTGTAAATTTATAAAAAAATAATACTAGAGATTGGTATAGATATGAAATACATTTTCACCAAATTTCAAGTTCAAACTCAACTTCATTTAGGGTAACAAAAAAGACAAATTTTAGGTGAATAGTAACATGACACTATTCACCTGAAATTTGTCTTTTTGTTTCTCTTAAACAAAGTTGAGTTTGGAGTTGAGATTTGGTGAGAATATGTATTTTATATCTACACCTATCTTTAGTATTTTTTTATGAATTCACGAAACTTTTAGCTATGATTTTTCACCGGATATGTCCTCAATTATTTATGCCCCAACATCAGTAGAACTGATACATTATATTCGTCTAATTGCAACGCAAAATATAAGCCTAGATGACATCTTGGGCCAACTGCTATTTTGGAAATTCCCGAATAGAGGTTCTAATTAAATTTTGGTTTGAAATTTTGGAACAAAATATTGGTAATTTTGGACCCCATCTACAAGAACAAGTCTCCCTGAAGTTTTCGGATTTTTTTTCAAATATTTATGAATTTTATCATAATTTGTTCAAATTCAATCAAAATATATATAGTAATAGAATTAAAAAAATGGGTTAGAAAACAACAAAATTCACGATTTTTCAATATTTCAGCAACCGCTGGCTACCGAAATTGTAAACACTTTACAGAAACATATTCTATCAAAATGGTCAGAAAAAACCTACTTCTGATCCATTTTCTACTGTGTGCGGAACATATCAGTAACGAAAAGAAAATTGTTGGCCAGTACTTTTGGGAATTCCCGTACCATCCGTTTACACACTCCAATGTGTAAGTGCGGGAATGCTACAAATTGGGATGCTGATGGATCGGACGAACCCTCTCTAAAAATGTTGTTTCTTATTTTTAAATATTTTTTCTCCTAAACTACTTATCCGATCTATGATCCAATCATACATTTGTATTCATTGTAATTAAATCTTTACAGCAAGATATCATATAATTATATTATGTTAAAAAAACATGTGTTTCAAATCGCTAAAACTTAATGTTTCATATGTAATAGTAATATGTTTCAATGCATGTCTTCAGCGTGTTACACAGTATTCCCGAAACTACCTGCTACTTCTCTCTCTCCTCTCTCTCTCCACCTTATACATGCATACATTTAGTGACCTTCGAAAAGTTATTTTTTCCTAAACTACTTATCTAATCTACGATTAGATCACATTGTTATATTCGTTGCAATTAAATCTTTATAACAAGATATCGCATGATTATATTTTGATGAAAGAAAAATATACGTTTCAGTCCATTAACACACAATGTCTCATACGTGATAACAACATGTTTCAACGTGTGTCTCCACTATGCTTCACAAAAATGTTAAATGTCTCACTGATTGTTTTTTTTATTTCACCATGTATAACTTAATGTTTCACTATTGGTCAACTATAATATTTGACCGATTGATAAAATGATCGGGCGCCCGATTCAAAGATTCCTCCGTGTACATGTAGTAGATTTTGATCATTCAAAACGTGCCAATACACATTTTTAATTTCGCATCACATCATATTGCACATATACGAATTCATATACGAATGCATCGTTAGAAGAAACAAAAATTGACATATACAAACGAATACAGTAAACGTAAAATTTTGATTTAGACAAATACAGATGAGTCCAAAAAGAGTTGGGTGGACTCAAAGCTTAAACAAAAGGAGATATGACGGCCGGCCATCAATAATGACCATTGGCCACGGAGCACTTGATCCTGACCTCCGTCGGAGTCCAAGGGTCCGGGCGTATGTTCCCCATCTTCACCATCGCCCTCGCGAAGTCGGCGAAGAACGCCTCCTGGTTGCGGGAGTAGGTCAGCACAAGCTCGCCGGCCCAGCTGCCCGGGGTGTAGAGCGCCTGGTCGGTGGCGAGGAGCCCCCGCTTGAAGAGCAGGTCCTGGTAGTAGAGCATGTCGAACTTCATCGGCGTCCGCTCGTCGAACGGCACGCCGGCCTCCTCGCAGTTGTCCGGCCGCTGGCACGTCCGACGGAGCTCCGCCGCGTAGGACGGGTCGATGTCGTCGTAGCCCTCGCCGCCGTCGATGCGGCCCTCGAAGTTGTCGCAGCTGTGGGCCTTGCCGACGGTGTGCGCGCCGGAGAGCGCGGTGAGGTCGCGTTCGTCGAGGCCGTGCTCGCGGAACACCCCGAGGAGGACGTCGAGGTGGCCGTTTCTCGGGTCCGGGAGCTCCTCCGTGGCGTTCTTGGTAACGAAGCGCGAGTCCTTGCGGCCGAGCAGCACGCCCCAGCTGGGCCCGCCGAGCATGGCGACGGCGTCGCGGGAGGCGAGCGCGAGGACGTCGGCGCAGGAGACGGTGGCCGGGCAGCTGCGCTCGAGCTCGGACTTGATGGCGTCGATCACGTCGAAGCCGGCGAGGGAGGCGTTGGCTTTTTCCTCCTTCTCGCTCTCCGTGGAATCCGTACTGTCCAGGAGGAGGGAGCCATCACAACCCTGCATATATATCCATGTGACCGATGATTGTGAGACAAATGCATTCCATGAAATAGAAGTAATTATTAAAGAATCTTTAATGTAAAAGAAATCATAACAAAATTAATAATAATAATAATATTTTTTAGTAAGTAACTAGCATCATACTAAATAAACGAAGGTAATACTTACATTGACGAAGCAGTCGTGGAAGAAGAGGCGGAGGATGGCCGGCGCCATCCTCGGGTTGGCGGCGACGCTCCGCTCCATCACCGATCGCACGATGTTCTGCGCGTTGGGGCACGTGTTATCGTAGTAACTCTCCGTGTACTCGACGGGATTGCCCTCGGCTGCGGCGGTGGAGGCCAGAGCCGCGACGAGCAGAGCAACCGAAGCGACGGCGACGACGGCCCTAGAGCTAAACGCCATGGCTGACGATGAGCTCGTGTGTCAACCACGAGATCAAGCCCGCCTACGTACCTAGCTCAGCTCAAGCTTGATAATGCTGACCAGCTCCGAACTCCCAAGTGATGGTGAGCTGCTGCTGCTGCTGCTGCTTGCAGATGTTGGCAGTGTGGATGTTGAAGCATGCAGCGAAGCGTGTGTTTATATAGATTTGCAACTTAGCGCGTCGATCTCCTTGTGAGAATACGAGCGCCACACGACGACGGGGTCCTGGTCTGCACGCTGCACGCCTATTGGCTGGCTAGCTCGTGCTCACTGGGCGGCAGCTCAAGACGAGGTCGCAAAAAGAAAAAGGGGAAAATGAGAGGAAAAAATATACGGAAACTAACCAAAATCAAAATAACGTGTCCCTCTATTATATGAGCAAGTTGACACATACCTACCCAATGCTGGCCAGTAAGTGGTCACATCGTACCCTTGCAGCTTGCATCGATGAACTCATCAAGTTAGGATAGATACATCGCCTTAGGATTGACAATTAATTTTCCGATCATTGCATGATCGGACCGTACGAATCTACTTGTAACAATACTTTTCGTAATCACGGTCGTCTCCTTATCATTTGGTGACTTTTGAAGAAATGAGCATGTGTCACTATTCAAGAAAATTAACTCGGTTCGCGATCCTTGATCCATTCCAAGTCTCCAGAACGAGGTAGATTTGATTGATCGACAATGATTTATTTTTCGTTCTAGCTCGCGACAAAACGCTGATCTTTCTAATAATAACACTGGTGGAGAAACCATCTTTTGTCGGTCGGGCGAATTCCACAATAGTCCCGGTTGCAACAAAAACCGGGACTAAAGATCTTTAGTCCCGGTTAAAAAGGGTAACGGGCATATTTGATCTTTAGTCCAGGTTCAAATGCTGTCAGGGCCTGTCAGGCCCCTCCGGGATCTTTAGTCCCAGTTAATAACACTAACTGGGACTAAAGATCGTAACTTTAGTCCCGGTTGGTGTTACCAACCGGGAATAAAGATCCCGGCGATCTTTAGCCCCGGTTCATAACACCAACCGGGACTAAAGTCCCACCCCTATATATATGTCTTCTTCCTTCTCCAGCCCGAGCAAGCTTCAAAATTTCTTCAAAAAAGAGGGGAGGTCATGCCAAAATTTCTAGTGAATTTATTGTGTTGATTATATACAAATCGGAGGTGGCTAAAAGGTTAGCAACTTCATCCTCCAATGTTTTTTTTTCATATTACATTTGGAGCTATGTTTTGCACACTTTTTTGTCTCCAAAATTTTGTTGTTAGTTGATGAGAGAGAAAATTTGTGTGGAGAAGAAAGAATATATAGAAATTTAGTTTATTTGGTAAAGAAGGTTTTATAAAAAAGTTGAGAAGGAAAATATAGTGAAAGTTAATCTTGAATAATAGAAAACAAAGTAAAATGAAAAATTAAAATAAGTACAACACATTAATATTAGTTTAAAACTTTATAAATAGTAAATATATAATTATTCGGTGTAATATTTCATAATATTTGTATGAATAATGATATGTCATTATTGTGTGACTGTTGAAAGAGTATGTAATTATTTTATAATTATTGTATGACTGTCATTATTGTATGAATAATTATGTGTGTACGATTTTTTTTCATGTCATGTAGATGGATCGGCAATGGATGTATGCTGACCGGCGGTCCAAAGAGTTTATTGACGGCGTGCATTATTTTTTGAGAGTAGCCGAAGCTAACAGGCAAAAGGGTTTTATTTGTTGTCCATGCAATAAGTGTAAGAATCAGAAAGAGTATTCTGCATCCAGGACTATTCATTTTCACTTGTTTGAGTCGGGGTTCATGCCAAGCTATAATTGTTGGACATCCCACGGAGAGCAAGGTGTTGAAATGGAAGAAGATGAAGTGGAAGACGACAATATTCTGGACTTTGCTCAGTACGCTGGATTTGAAGGAAATCAAACGGGCGAGGAGGAAAGGGATGCTGATGGTAACAACGTTGCGGATGATCTTGGTCAGATGTTGCAGGACGCCAAGGAGGATTGCGAAAGTGAAAAGGGGGCCCATAAATTGGACAAGATGTTAGAGGACCACAGAACATCGTTGTACCCAGGTTGCGAGCAGGGGCACAAAAAGTTGGATACCACTCTGGAGTTCTTGCAATGGAAGGCAAAAAATGGTGTTAGTGACAAGGCATTTGGCGATTTATTGAAACTCGTCAAGAACATTCTTCCGGAGGGAAACAAGTTGCCCGAGACAACGTACGAGGCTAAGAAGATAGTGTGTCCTCTAGGATTGGAAGTTCAGAAGATTCACGCATGTCCGAATGATTGTATCCTATATCGCGGTGAGGAGTACGAGAACCTAGAAGCATGCCCTGTTTGCAAAGCGCTACGATACAAGATTAGACGAGATGATCCAGGAGAAGTTGACGGGCAGCTAACGAAAAAGAGAATTCCTGCTAAGGTGATGTGGTATTTCCCTATAATACCACGGCTAAGGCGTTTGTTCAGGAACAAGGGGAACGCTAGAATGATGCGGTGGCACGCTGAAGAGCGTCAACAGGACGGGATGCTGAGACACCCCGCCGATGGTTCGCAGTGGCGAAACATCGACAGAATATTTAAAGACTTTGGAAATGACGCACGAAACATACGGTTTGGTTTAAGTACGGATGGCATGAATCCTTTTGGAGAGATGAGCAGCGGCCATAGCACTTGGCCCGTTACGATGTGTATCTACAACCTCCCCCCGTGGCTATGCATGAAGAGGAAGTACATAATGATGCCGATTATAATTCAAGGCCCCAAGCAACCTGGTAACGACATCGATGTGTACCTAAGACCACTGGTCGAAGATCTTAAACTGTTGTGGAAGAAGGAAGGTGTCCCCGTGTGGGATGAGGACAAACAGGAGGAGTTTAACCTATGAGAGCTGCTATTCGTAACCATCAACGATTGGCCTGCACTTAGCAACCTATCCGGGCAGTCCAACAAGGGGTACAAGGCTTGCACTCACTGTATGGATGAAACAGAAAGTACGTATCTTAAGCACTGTATGAAGGTTGTGTACATGGGTCATCGTCGATTCCTTGCAGCAATCCACCAGGTACGGAAGAAAGGCAAGCACTTTGAACATAAGGCGGACCACCATACGAAGCCTAAACATCGCAGCGGAAAAACAGTGTTTGCTATGGTTAAAGATCCTAAAGTAGTGTTTGGAAAGGGGCCTGGCAGCCAGCCTATAGAGAGCGAAGATGGTCACGCGGCGATGTGGAAAAAGAACTCTATATTTTGGGAGTTACCCTATTGGGAATTCTTGGACGTCCGCCACTTAATCGACGTGATGCACCTCACTAAGAATCTTTGTGTAAACCTTCTTGGCTTCCTAGGTGTATATGGAAAGTCGAAAGATACACTGGAAGCACGTAATGATCTGAAGCATATGGAATAACGCGGTGACCTTCACCCTGAACCAAAGGAGAAAGGAAGCCATTACTTGAGTCCAGCCAGCTACACTCTTAGCAAGGCAGAGAAGGAAAGTATGTTTGAATGCTTGGAGAGCATCAAGGTACCGTCTGGATACTCCACGAATATAAAGCGAATAATAAGCACGAAGGAGAAGAAGTTCACAAATCTAAAGTCTCATGACTGTCACGTGTTGATGACACAGCTGCTACCAGTTGTAATAAGGGGTATCCTCCCAGACAATGTCCGGGCAACAATAACAAAGCTATGTGCTTTCATGAACGCAATTTCGCAGAAGGTCATCGATCCTGATAGATTAGAAGCCCTGCAGAATGATGTGGTTCAATGTCTTGTCAGCTTTGAGTTGATATTTCCACCTTCATTTTTCAATATAATGACGCATCTGCGTTGTCACCTTGTCAAAGAGATCGGTATTCTCGGTCCTGTGTACCTACACAACATGTTTCCTTTCGAGAGGTACATGGGCGTTCTGAAGAAGTATGTTCGTAACCGTACTCGTCCAGAGGCAAGCATCGCCAAGGGGTATGGAACAGAGGAGGTCATTGAATTCTGCGTAGAATTTATCGAAGCCCTTCACCCAATCGGGGTACCTGAATCACGCCATGAAGGGAGACTACGGGGAAAGGGGACTCTCGGAAGGAAAGCAATAATGACGGTAGACAACAATTTATTCCGCAAAGCCCATTTCACGGTTCTGCAACAATCTTCATTGGTGGCTCCCTACGTCGAAGAGCACTTGGCTCTAGTTCGCGCCAAAAACATCGGTAAGTCCGATGCATGGATTACAAGGCATCACATCGATACTTTCTCCACGTGGCTGCTACAACATCTCATGGGTAACGAGACGATTAACCAACAACTGGCCTTCCTGGCAAGGGGACCATCTAGCTCGATCGCGACATTCCAGGGATATGAAATCAATGGGTACACATTCTACACGAGGGCCCAAGACATGAAGAGCACGAACCAGAACAGTGCTGTTCGTATCGATGCCATGGGACACGATGGTACGACTGGCACGTATTACGGTGCCATCGAGGACATATGGGAACTTGACTATGGACCTCTCAAGGTCCCTCTGTTCCGGTGCCAATGTGTTAGGTTAACTGGTGGAGGCGTAACGATTGATGACAGTGGGATGACAACGGTTGACCTTAACAAGGTTGGATACTCGGACGAACCTTTTGTCCTTGCCAATGATGTAACCTAAGTTTTTTACGTCAAGGACATGTCTAGCAAAGGAAAAAAGGGCAAAGTGACTGACGAGCCGAAGCGCCACGTGGTTCTGCCGGGAAAAAGAAAAATCGTCGGAGTAGAGGACAAGACTGACGAGGATTACGATCAGTTTGATGGGCAACCACCTTTCACGGTGACAATTGACCCTAGCATCCTCCTATCAAATGAAGACACCCCTTACTCACGTAGCGATCACAAGGAAGGAACAATAGTGAGGAGAAAGTACGTCCGGTCAACCGTCACCGCCAATGTATTGCCGTAATTGTTCTGTACGCGATGTAAACTATGTTGGATGTACCGAATATCTATACTAATCAATTGTTGTATGGCATATGTAAAATAAATATGATTATTAGAATTTTTATCAAATTGAAATCATCCATATGCTAGTTATATATGATCATTAGATTTTTTGTTAATTATGTATGATTATTAGAATTTTAATCA